TTTATTTAAACATTTTAATAATGTATATGAATAAAATGAATTCTGTGCATAGAGAAAAATTCTCCCCAAGCGACAGTTAGTCTGCTAATTCATTTAAAATAAATTAATAAGAATAATTATCATATTGTAATTCATATATCTTAAAGAAAAGATTCATATTCTTAGTCATCTGATAACTTCAATCTTCGGTGGTAAAAAGTTGCAAAACACCTTTAAATATTAGTAATAATTTTCAATTAAAATTGGCACCGTCTTTTAATATATTTTAACGTACCTTATATAAGGAAGTATAAATCATATATAATTGCCTAAAATATGTTCATAGTTAATACGAATGATTGTGAGGGTTAAGCGTGTCTCTTAGATTAAATATCCATTTCTGAGGACTTTATTACTTATTCAGTTAGTCCTGTGTATGAAGATAAACTACACCTGGCAGCAAGGCCTCTGATCGGGAGATTGGGGATTTGGGGAGGGTGGAGCTACCTTTTGATTGCTGTTTTTCTCATGTTCACCCTGACTCGTGGATAAAGGCGTTAGATCCAGTGATAGGACCCAAAGAGTGTGAGTTCAATACCTGGTTAAGCCGGTGGAGAACTTGGAGAGGGGAATTAACAGGAGATAACTAATAACTGACATCCATTAAACATGGCACGTAGAACTAGAACAGTTTACCCCAGTGAGCTAAATAAAGGGTTCAGTTCGACGGTCCAACCACCTGAAGAAGGCCGGAGCGTACAACGGACGAACGTCTGGATAAATATGGTAACAAAGATGAGGACTATAGTACGAATAATGTAAATAGGGAACAATGCGTATATATAGTACAATAGAAACACTTTAAATCAAGATCACCAGCAATACATTTTAACTCTAGTTGAAGGCTTATAATTGCGTCCACTATATTTAGTTGAAGTCATGAAATTATTGGAATTATTTATATTTCGGCGTTAAATAATCTAGAGGGCTTGATATGCCACTAACAAAGAATTAAACAACCAACATGAGAGAACGCTTTCATAACATTAAGCCATGTAATATCCGACAATTTCTTCAATCATTCCAAGATGTATGTTCAACAGAACTACAGCCTAAAACACATATCATAACCTATAATTATTATGTTCAAACAATCATTTATATGCATAAAACTTTAGCATTATCTACCATGTATTCAATTGTGAAGGCAGAATAACATATATCATATTTTTTATTACTTCCACACTTTCAAAAACCTTAAATTTCGTTCATATGCTGTTAAAAAAACAAACAAAATCAATCGACATATTCAGTCAATATTATTGTTTCTATCATGAGAGTGAATAATTGTTTCTATCTTAGAGAGTGAATAATTAGTAAAGATCTTTAAGAATTATAACGTAAAACTGATGAATGAGAGTGACTAGTTCAAAATAGTTTTAGAGATTAATAAATTATATTACAAGATGAAAATGCATTTGACTTGTTGATAAAGAAAGTGCACTAACTTGTTAATAAGAAAGATGCACAAGTTATGAATAAAAAATGCACTTGACATGATGATGAGGGAAGTGCATTGACATCCGGTTGAGAGAAATGCACTTGACATACGAAATAGAAAAATGCACTTGATAGCGAATAAGAAAAATTGACTTAACTTGGTGATAAGAAAAATGCTTTTTACTTGCCAATGAGGAAAATGCACATGACTTGCTAATCAAAAATATGCACTTGACGTGCTGATAAGAAAACTGCATTTGAATTACAAACATGAAAACTGCACTTTACTTATGACGAAGTAAAATACACTTGACTTGCGAAAAAGAAAAATACACTTATCTTGTGAAATAAGAGAATGAATTTAACTTACAAATGAGAATAAGAAATATATACTAGTGCTGACGTTTGGATATGAAAAATGTATTTGATATGCAACTAATAAAAATGCCCTTGACTTGTGTAAAAGCAAAATGCACTTAAGTTACTGATGAGAAAAATACACCTGATGAATTATAAAGCCCCCTTTCTACAGACGGAATGTCGCTGAATTTTGCTACTCAATAACTATTTCCATGGCAAATCTTCTGCTGATCTACTTACATTAAATCTACCAGTTCAGACAGTCACAGCTAACACCTATCATGGCACGTACAAGAGAACGAATCAAAACGATCCGCTTCCATTACTAAGAAGGGATTTCTATCCGAAATAGCTTCTTTCCGAAAGTCTCTTCACTGTGGAAGTCTTCAGTTTAAGCTTCAAGCGTTATCATGCCTAAATGTCATGATATTCTCTTCTTACCACCTAGTCTTACGTTTATACAATAATTTCATTCAGCCACTCTCTATAATGAGAGGCTTTCTGGCCAAGGCAGGATATCTTGTCATTTTAGAGGGTGAATAATTAGTAAAAAAATTAAACTTTCTTATTATTCATGATACACGATACATCACTGTTGATAGATACAGATCATTAAAAAAAACAAAGAATTCGATTCCAACGCGGGTAACGGAGAGCTGAGTTCCAATTTCAGTTGGCGTTGTTAGATTTACTTAAGTGCAAATAACGTTGAGAAAGATATGTCCACTACTTCTACTCTCGCTAGAGGTTAAATGTTAAGACTTGTAAAACTAAATCATTATTATTTTAAAAAGTCTTACAATCTAAAAATATTTTCTGACTTTAAATAAACAGCAAAGAAGCTTGATTATCCGGAGAAAAAGTATCAAAGAATAAAAAATTCTTTAATTCCTTAGATATTTTCTGTGCATATATAGAATGATATACATGGAAATGGTTAATGACAGTAAATGGGAAAGACGATATTTAATTAAAATTGAAAATAAGAAAATATTGTTTTTGATAATGGAATTTCCGTTAGTTTTCGATGTTATGTATTCACGAATGTGCTCTGTCTGCGACTATCAGATTTTTTTTTTGCCAAATAGGACGTGGAGAATGTCGTAATTAACTTTGCCAGCCTTCGACTTCTCAGAAAACCGCTTGTTGAATGTAAGTTAGATCTGATGTTTCGCAATGGCACTCTCACAACAACTTTTCTTTGACATATTCATGTCCAACCTAAAGCAATTTAAAACTGAAAAACGGTCAGAGGATTGCGTTTATTCTTGAAACGTACTGTTACTTCTAGATGTTGCTTTCAATATCCACATATATGTTTACATACAAACACTCACACAAAACATAAACACACACATACACACACGTACACACACACACACATATATATATATGTATGTATGTATGTGTGGAGAGATATAGTTATAAAAATAGAAAGAGGACGTTGCAACGTTTTTGTTTATCTTTTACTATTCGTTCAGTATCATCTATTTCTTTCCCTATTATTTATCATTCAAACATTTTTAACAACATTTGTCTATAATTTTATTCTTTTATCATTTTCTTATTTATCAATTGTAACGGGACAATTTTTTATGGACGAGGTCATACAGGGCCCGCTGGGTATATTGTCGCCATTTTATATTTTTTATCTTCGCGCATGGGTGTTGTTTGTTTTTCTTTGTTTATCGTCTGCAAATTAAAGTAGGGTCAGTTTGGTATCTTCTGTAAGTAAAAGAGCACGATGACACACCTGATGTTCTTGACATTCAGAAAAGAAGCTCCAATATAAACATTTCAGAGTTTTTTGGTGTCAATCTGAAGACAGTGCAAAGGACTGTAAAAAGTTTGAATTAGTTTAAGCGTGTTTATGAAGGTACTCAGCACGAAAAAATCACTCTGGTCTTTCTAATTAGTAAAGAACTCCCAGATTTTTTTTATTGAAGGCCTCAGAATTGGCATGGAATCCTATATCAAGTAACTTGATGAGGTAGAGCTGCATTGTCATGAGGGTGGCTACTTATTTATAGGAATCATACAGCAAAAACAGGTGAACCTAGTCATGATTGTCATTTCTGCAAGCACTCACTTCTTACATTTAGTCATCTAACTCCCGAAAGTGTAACCTCTTGGTTATTATGTGTGGGGTGCAGTTGAGAGCGACACCAACAACACTCCTTTAAAAACAAAGATGAACTAATAAAAAGGACCTGTAACCTCTTGGTTATAATGGGTGCGGTGCAGTTGAGCGAGACACCAACAACACTTTTATAACACCAAAGATGAACTAATGGAAAAGACCTGTAACCTCTTGGTTATAATGGGTGCGGTGCAGTTGAGTGAGACACCAACAAATTTCTTTTAACACCAAAGATAAACTGATGGAAAGGACCTGTAACCTCTTGGTTGTAATATGTGGGGGGGCTATTGAAGGTGACACCAACAAAACTCCATTAACATTAAAGATGAACTGATGGAAATGACTTGTAACCTCTTGGATATAATGTGTGGGGTACAGTTGAGCGAGACAGCAACAACACTCCTTTAACACCAAAGATGAACTGATGGAAAATATCTGTTACCTTTTGGTTATAATGTGTGGGGTGCAGTTGAGGGAGACACAAACAAAACTGCTTTAACACCAATGATGTACTGATCGAAAGGACCTGTAACCACTTGGTTATAATGTGTGGGGTGCAGTTGAGCGAGACATCAACAACACTCTTTTAACACCAAAGATGAACTGATGGAAAAGAACCTGTAACCTCTTGGGTATTATGTGCGGGGTGTAGTTGATGGAGACACCAACAAAACGTTTTTAACACCAAAGATGAACTGAAAGAAAGTACATGTAACCTCTTGGTTATAATGTGAAGTGTGCAGTTGAGGGAAACACCAAAATAACTCTTTTGACACCAAAGTTGAACTGATGGAAAGGACCTGTAACCTCTTGGTTATAATGTGTGGGGTGCAGTTGAGCGAGACACCAACAACACTAATTTAACACCAAAGATGGTCTGATAGAAAGGATCTGTAACCTCTTGGGGGGTATAATGTGTGGGGTGCAGCTGACGGGGACACCAACAAAACTCCTTTAACACCAATGATGGACTGATGGAAAGAATTATGGCAGAATTCACCAACTTAAACAGGTAGTCCGTCTAGAAGAAATCGGCTTCTGGAGCGTCAGACACGGGTAAAAAGAAATTAGCAGAGAACGGTGTCGGTTTTGCTGTTAAAAAACACGTCGTTAGCGAGACGACGGTACACTGTTGAAAACTCGTCGTTGGAGACGACGGTCTATTTCGTAGGGAGACGACGGACACGACGGTAACTGTTGAAACTCGTCGTAGGGAGACGACGGTACACTGTTGGAAACTCGTCGTAGGGAGACGACGGTACACTGTTGAAAACTCGTCGTAGGAGACGACGGTACACTGTTGAAAACTCGTCGTAGGAGACGACGGTACACTGTGGAAACCCGTCGTAGGAGACGACGGTACACTTTGAAAACTCGTCGTAGGAAACGACGGTACGAAACTCGTCGTAGGAGACGACGGTACACTGTTGAAAACTCGTCGTAGGAGACGACGGTACACTGTTGAAAACTCGTCGTAGGAGACGACGGTACACTGTTGGAAACTCGTCGTAGGAGACGACGGTACACTGTTGGAAACTCGTCGTAGGAGACGACGGTACACTGTTGAAAACTCGTCGTAGGAGACGACGGTACACTTGGAAAACTCGTCAGACGACGGTACAATGAAACCCGTCGTAGGAGACGACGGTTTGTTGGATCAGAGAGAATGGTGTTTGTTTTGCTATTGAAAAATCGTCGTTAGCGATGATAGAACACGGCAAGGACGTTACAGAGAAAACGCAGTCAGTTTTGCTGTTATCAACTCGTTGTTGGAGACGATGGTACACTGCAAGGGGGATCAGAGAGAACTGTGTCGATTTTCCTCTTAAAAAATCGTTGTCAAATATGATGAAAGTCACGGATCGCTTCGACTACATACTTGTAATGGTAATGTAAACCTTGTTAGCGCTGACGGCCTAACCCTATAATAATACTTGCTGACTTTAACGCTAGAGTGTATGCTGATCACGAAACATCGCCTACCCGTCTGGGACACCATGGAATCGGCAAATTGAATGACAGCGACCGCTCCAGCTCGGTGTGCTTTATGATCTTTACGTCATCAACATATACATTCAGGCCAAGCCCAGCATAAATTCTCCTGGCGATACTCACGAAACATGCTCAGGAAATGGTCTATCAGAGCACCGATTGTGATACAGATCAATCCCTGGTTTAATGCAAACTCAGACTCCAACCAAAGAAGATACATTACACCAAGTCCCCAAGTAAACAGTTTATCAATGCCGCCACAATCCAGAAATCAACCGATTCGGTGATAATCATAAAGTCTCTGAAGGACCCCCTTCTCGAAAACTCACCTAGAGGAACTAACAGAGTTGAGATATATTCAGAGACACAATCTCCGGCACTACAATGAACACTTTCGGGAGGAATAGGAGCAAGTCACTGGGCTGGTTCGAAGAAAGTGCGAATCAGATCACACACACACACACACACACACACATATATATATATATATATATATATATATATATATATATATATATATATATAAAACAAAAGGAAAAACTATCGAAGCCGATGCGCTTATTTTGTAAGATGTATTTACATAGAAAAGCAAAAATATTTCATTGTTATATATATATATATATATATATATATATACATACATATATATATACAAAAATTTAAACATGCACACATATATATATATATATATATATATATATATATATATATATCTATATATATAAATATAAAATATATATATATCTATCTATCTATCTATCTATCTCTATCTATATATATATATATATATATATATATATAAAAACGTCGTATATTTCAGGAGGTAGAACATTATAATTCTAACTCATTGTTTTCCGTAGCCTAAGGAATAAAACAACTGATATGAAACGATATTTTCCCGAGGAAATAGAATTCGGGATTATATCCTGTGGATGTCGCATTTCTTAGTTTCCGATTCCAGCTCCGTAAATTATTTGAAGAATACAAATTTGGCATTTTAATACATAATACATTAACATAATAATCAAATAATAATGATAACAATAATAATTACCCAATACTAATAATGAATACTCAATCTAGTAAATTCAAACCATTTCAAGCGATAACAATGTTGCACTGAAGCAAGGGAATCGGGTAAAAGTATTAAAATTCTAAAACTATTTTTTAGTTAATAATTAAAGTATAAAAATCGTCCCATAAATGTAATTCGTGTGAGATAATGTGAAAGAGTTCAATAACCAAAAATGAATCATAATTGACATAATTAACATCTAATGAACTCTGACATATTTTTTTTAATTCCTTCTCTTAATGGAACGGAATTAAAACAATTTTTTTTCACCCCAAGCAAGGCAGTGAAACCATCAAGATACAAGTTGTTACTGGGTGCAGGATAATTAGGAATAGAAACATGAGCGCGAAGAGAAAGAGTAATCAAGCAGATAGCAATGGACATTGAGTATCTGTCTATAATTCTTATATAAAGTATTATGTACACTATTTACATTATTCGGACTATTGTCCTCATCTTTGTTGCCATATTTATCACAAAGTTTCGGCCTTTCAATATCTGTCTATATTCCTGATATGAGGTATTATTTACACTATTTACATTATTCGGACTATTGTCCTCATCTTTGTCGCCATATTTATTACAATGTTTCGGCCTTTTAGTATCTGTCTTTCTGATATAAGGTATTATGTACACTATTTACATTATTCGGACTATTGTCCTCATCTTTGTTGCCATATTTATCAAACGTTTCGGCCTTTCAATATCTGTCTATATTCCTGATATGAGGTATTATTTACACTATTTATATTATTCGGACTATTGTCCTCATCTTTGTCGCCATATTAATCACAACGTTTCGGCCTTTTAGTATCTGTCTTTCTGATATAAGATATTATGTACACTATTTACATTATTCGGACTATTGTTCATCTTTGTCGCCATATTTATCAAACGTTTCGGCTTTTCAATATCTGTCTATATTTCTGATATTAGGTATTATGTACATTATTTACATCATTCGGACTATTGTCCTCATTATTGTCGCCATATTTATCACAACATTGCGGGCGATGTACGCTCCGGCCTTCTTCAGGTGGTTGGAATATCGAACTGAACCCTTTATTTCTCTCGCTGGTGTATGCTGTTCAATGATAAGAGAAAAAATTGCAATATGAGCACTGGTAAAAAAGCTGAAATGTCGGGATAAATATGCCAACTAAGACGAGGACAACACGTCCGAATAACGTAAATAGTGTTGGAACAAATTTAAATTTAAATTTTTTCTGATCAAAATGGAATGGAAATCATGGAAAATTGAGAAAGATAGCGAAAGTATTTCTCTCTGACTTCTCCATGCTAGTGAATTCTGAAAGGGGTTCTCAACAGGGGTCCACATGGGCCCTAGGGAACCATGTAATATTTCAGGGGGTCCACAGGCAAAATATCACAAACTGGGGGCCTACAATGATATTTTGGTGGTCCATGAAGAAAGCCAACTCAGAATGTTTTTTATTATTAAAATAAAGCACAGCTTTACGTTGTTGCTTTTCCAATACCTTGCTGAATCGGGATTTCATTGTGTTTCTCAACTGTTATCAAAAGTTCACCATAGTCTTGACATTATGAAAAGAGGTGATCTTCGACTACCATTAACATTGATTGAACCAGACAAAATGAATCTCGCTGAGATGTATCAACCACAGGGATCTCATTGAATAAATATGCCTATGGGTAAAAAAAAGAAGGGAAAAGGCGTCTAGGTGTAAAAAAAGAAGGGAGAAGGAGCCCATGGGTTAAAGAAAGAAGGGAAATGTCGTCCATGGGTAACAAAAAGAAGGAAAAATGGGCCCAGGGGTAAAAGAAAAGAAGGGAAAAGAGACCCATGGGTAAAAATGATAAGAAACGTCGTCCATGGGCAAAAAAAGAAGGGACAAGGAGTCTATGGGTAAAAAAAGAAGGGAAAAGGCGTCCATGGGTAAAAAAAGAAGGGAAAAGGCGTCCATGGGTAAAAAAAGAAAGGGATAGGCGTCCATGGGTGAAAAATAGAAGGGGAAAGGCGTCCATGGTAAAGAAAGATGGGAAATGTGGTACATAGGTAAAGAAAAGAAGGGAAATGCGTCCATGGGTAAAAAAAATAAATAAGAGGGGAAAAAGGGTCCATGGGTAAAAAAAAACTTTGGAAAAGGGACCCATAGGTACAAAAGAGGGGAAACGGCGTCCATGGATAAAAAAAGAAGGGAAGAATGGTCCATGGGTAAAAAAACGATAGGAAAATTGCGTCCATGGGTAAAAAAAAGATTGGGAAAGGCGTCCATGGGTAAAAAAGAAGGGGAACGGGGTCCATGGGTAAAACAAAGGAAAAAGGCGTCCATGGGTAAAAAAAGATGGGAAAAAGGGCCCATTTGTATAAAAAAAGAAGGGAAAAATGTCCATGGTTTAAAAAAAAGAAGGGAAAAGGGGTCCATGGGTAAAAAAAGCAGGGAAAACACCTAAGGCATGAGTGGCCATTTTACTCTGTAAATTAAATCATAGATTGAATCCGATAAGAAGTGATGAATCCATGGTTGTCCACAATTGAATAGACACGCCAGAATTTTAAACGGGCTCGCCAATTCTGCTTTCTACGTTATTAATGATAATCTACAGACACTTTCACCTAAAAGTATGCAGCAGAATCTTAATTTTAGATTCATGCGTATGACAATTCATTTTGTTCCCATTTCCTGGCAGATGGCAGCTCAGAATTTCAGTCACTTTCGGTGCATTCAATTATGCACAAATAACAAATAATTCTCAAAATAATCGTTAATGTAATATTCACTGAATTCATGAATTATCATTAAAATACGAAATAATTTCGGTTTCAAATAACTCACGAAGGCTTGATAAGTCATAACAAAAAATTAAATAAATTAACATAAATTGACATTCTCGTCAAATAATTCGTAATGGTGGATTCTTATTAAAACATTGTCTTTCTGTACAACTATCATATTACGTTAGCAAAATTATATTCATAAAATTGAATAATAATAAACAATCAAATCAGACATTGTTATTAGAGGCCGCAAACAAAAACATTGCCTCCTTATTGATATGGCCGTTCCTGCAGGCTACAATATATCACAAAGTTATCAAATTATAGGGATCTTGAAGTCGAAATCACAAAAATGTGGCACATGGTAACATCAACAATCCCTGTTGTAGTTGGAAACATCGGATTGGTTAGAAAAGATCCCAGTAGATTCATTGAAGAAATTCCTTGAAACCCATGCCTTAAAGAAATACAGAAGAGTGTTCCAACTACTACAGCCCACATCTTACGAAATGCTTTATCTATGTAAAATATTTAAAAAGTCAGTTCTATAACTACAGCTTCTAGAATAAGTTTCGGTTTTTCCCACTGCAAAAAGATTCCCGCTGAAAGAAGATACTGTGGCAAATATGATAAGTATACTACTTGAAAAAATAACTGACTCTTTATAAATTATGAATACTTCGATCGAAATATCGAGTGAAAACAGAGATTTTGATTTTATTTTAGAAGTTTTAAAATTTTCATTTAATTTTCGTTTTCTTCAAAATAAATACTTAAATCAATATTTAACAATCTAAATTTAAAAAGAAAGCTTCCTTATGAAAAGAATATGACAAATATAAAAAATTTTCAGAATCTATAAAAAGTGATATTACATCATTACAAAGTTATCAAAACGATGATTTTTCCTATTTTATCAGCCTTGACCTTTAGAGACTTGGACGATCCTGTCTCTTCACAATTTTCTATCGTTTGTACTTATTAGATTTTTTTAAAATCTTCTTCCCACTGTCTACCATCCATTTTCAAAAGCTTGTTATGTAGGTTACTGTGTTTCTTTATGTCCATCTTGCCTTCAACACTTTCGGTGAGTATCACATTCTCCAAGTATTCCTACCTAAATATTTCTCGTAGAAATTCCATATCTTATCCTTATCCCCTCATCATTTTATTGATAATTGTCTCTTTCGTTTCCAGTTTTTTAAAACTTCCACTTTTTTACATGTTCTGTCCATGTTATTCACAAAAACCAAATTCTTGTTGCCTCATATCTATTGCTTCAATACTTTGATCTATGCGATTTTTTTTCAACATTCATTGCAATAAAGGAAGAATTCTATTAAATAGAAATTCAACACTGTTTTCTTAGTGTTTTTCGGAATTTCACTATTTTTAATGCATTCTTTAACTTTTGGGCATCATTTCTTTCCTTTTCCAATGGTCCTTCGGATTTTTACATTCTCTGTCATCTGTTAAACCCCTACTGACTGAAAGCACATCGAGTCTAAATGGAGATAGATGTTGACGTATGAAGCGGTTAATGTTGTTGAAGGTAAATCGGTGATCCAAGTTCAAGTTCTGACTGAGCTGGTGTCAGTCACTTTAGAAAAAACGCCTTTGAGAAAGGTGTGAATCAATCTCTTCCTCTCGAGACGCGGTCTAAAAACAGAGTAGAGTGGTATTGCCAGAAAGTGCTGGTAACCAATCTAGGAGAATGAATACTGGGAATTCAAAATTGTGGAGACAGCCATGATTATACTGCACACTATCTTTCTGCATTGGACATGGCAATTTGTAGATAATAAAGCAAAGGAAAAGCAGATAAAGACATAATCAACTGCATATGCAATGGAATTGGTATTTTAAAGAAATCATGAGTGTATAAGTGAAATTTGTTTCATAAGTCTGGTTTAGTTTGGTTTGGTTTGGTTTATTTTGTTTCACGACCTATAAGCCTCATTTAATGCCGACGCGATTTTTAAGATGGGTTCGTTTAAATAGAATACGTATCTGTCTATATATATATAAGCGTTAATAACAACAGAAATTGAAAGAAAATAAAAATAATAATATATATATATAATATATATATATATATATATATATATATATATATATATATATATATGGTATGATAACAACAAAAATTGCAATATGATCACTGGTAAAAAAAAAAAAAAAAAAGGGCCGCTGAAGATGTTAGGTTTATAATATCCAGAAATTCATACAAAATGTATGGCACATGGCACAGTGGATAAAATCGTTAGTCAGATCCAGTGACAGGACCGAAAAAGTGTGAGTTCAATGCCGGTTAAGGCAGTGGAGAACTTTCAGAGGGAAATTAACAGGAGATAACTGATAACTGACATGTTACTTGGAACAAGAACAGTTCACCCAGCGAGCGAAATAAAGGGTTCACTTCGACATTCCAACCACCTGAAGAAGTCCGGAGCATACAACGGCCGAAACGTTCTGATGAATATGGCAACAAAGATGAGGACAATGGTCGGAGCAATGTAAATAATAGCTCATCTCAGAAATATAGACAAAAACCGAAAATTAAGTCACGGATTTTATTATTCGTATATACAAATACATCGTAATTAATTTTACTATATAATATGGATTGAATATTAAGGAAAATGGGAATGGAACGTTTCGGCGTCGCTGATTTGGCATAGCCGAGTCGACATAGGTATTTTCGTTATTGTCAAATTCAACTACTCTCTCTCTCTCTCTCTCTCTCTCTCTCTCTCTCTTTTGTTTTTGTTTTGGGGGCTCTAATTCTCTCTTTGAATTTATTGTTTCCCCTTTTTTATTTCATATATTGGTTTTTCTATTGCCTTCTCATGGACAATCTTTTTCTTACTCTCTTTCTTTCAGTGTGTTTATCGAAGTCTATTCGTAACTGTATGTCTATTCTCCAGCTATGAAGCTAGCTAGCTATATAGCTTGCTAACTTATGCTTTTCGAACCTGTCTATCTAGTTATATTAGTTCAATATAGCTATATGTTCGTGGGTTGAAAAAATTGCCAATATTAATGTTAGGGCGTTTGCTAGTTCAACCATTAGACAGAAATAAACATTACATACTGACTGGCCATCTCTCTCTCTCTCTCTCTCTCTCTCTCTCTCTCTCTCTCTCTCTCTCTCTCTCTCTCTCTTAGTGTAGTCAAATTAGTATTTCGTCGTTTATATGCTGGAATAATCCAAACCGACGTTTGCAATATGATCTACATATGCATCATCCTTCACGGAAAGTTCAGAAAATATAGAAATGCTGACGAATGAATAAAGAAAAGTCAATAATGGAAGTTAAATCATTAGATCTTATTGAATTCTTGAAGAGTGTTGCTCATAATTACGAAATGAAGGAGGAATTTCTAACATTAAATAGATTTAATAATTTTTGTCATTATTATTATTTTGAAATACAATATTTTTAATTTAAATGATTCCATTAGTTCTTTAATAGGATCCTTAATTCCCTAAATGAATAAAAAGTTATATTGAAAGTTGGGTGTTTTCAATGCTTTTATCCTTTTATTGGGTGGGGTTGACTCCGGTCAAAGACAGTGATGTCGAAACAATTTGACGCTTAAACAGTTGTACTGAATAGTCCAGTTATTTTTTTTTTTGACGCTGACTCAGCCACGCCAAATGGGTGACGCCGAAACGTACCAAACTCCAGGAAAATATGAATCGCCTTATTTAAAAAATTAACAATTATGATATTCCGCTTCATAGGAATAAAGAAAGTACTTTCGTAAACTTGAAATAATTAAAAAAAAGTAAATGACAAAGCCTCATGATAACCAGCAAAAGTTTTTGACACTTTTAAAGTGCAATTTTTTTTTTAGTCATTTGGCCCAAAAAATGAAATTGGTGTGATTGCCGTTGGGCAGACATCATTGCCGGCTGCACTCTCATTAAAGCAAACGACAAACTTATAACGAGCTCATTCACCAGGAAGAAAATCGATTCCATTTTGGAAGCGAAAAATATTGCCAAAATAAAATTGGTAAACGATAAGTGAAGGAATTGAAAATTCATGAAAATAAGAAAACAAGAAAAATGGCGTCAAATAGATGAAAATATTGAATAAAACATCTTTCTTTCATTGATTTCCGTTTAGACATTTTGCGAAATGAAACGAAAGAATGACAAGGACATATTGTAATTTTGGGGGGCTTCATTCTCATTGCAACATGAATGGTGATTTGTTGACATAAATGACGTATACATACATGCATAACTATCTATCTATCTATCTATCTATCTCAGAGTCGCTATCTTTCCATCTATCTATGTATCTATCTATCTATCTCAGACTCTTCATCTATCTATCTCAGACTCTTTTTCTTTCTTTCTATC